TGGATTTCATATGTATAGGGTATTTTGGTCATATTCATTCCCCCATTACCCTTACACTCCTCACTCCAGCATAATACTTTTAATAGAATTCAATTATGTAGAAATTAACTTAAGATTATGACTTGATAGTTTAATAGGGACTGTCTCCACTAAAAAAGACAACGAAACACTCAATTAAACATAAGTCTTGAACAATTATCTCCAACAAGAATCTGCTACAGATTTGAGCATCATTTATTTAAAAGTAGAATCTTTTCTAACCATTTTCACCTAGATTTTTTTCATCTGGGAGACCCAGAGAAGTAATTTTGCATTCTTTGTACTCTTACATTTAATGTATACTTAGGGAAGGTGGCACTTTCCGGGGCTCAAACCCAAGTCCGGGTGCACTGTTGGCAATGGTCTACCACTGAGCTACTGAGAGCCTCCTGTGTGCCAGGCTGGCATGAAGGTAGGGTTGAGAGGGACAGTCCCGACCTTCAGGACCTTCACCCGCATAACAGGAAATGAAAGTTGTATGAAAATGTGCAGCTATTGTACAAAAGGAAATACACCAAATACGCGAGCAGAGATATAAGCACAAGTTTGATGTGGATGGAGAGAGAGATCCCACTCAGGAGAGGAGTCATGTAGGAAAAGAAGCCTGGATGATTTACCTTGTCCCCCTTTTAGATCCTGCACTTCCCAAGGGCAGGAACAGTGTCTCCTTGATGGCCTTCTCCTCTGCTCTGTGCCGGCCCCAGGCACAGCGCCTGTTGGAGAGAAGGACTTCTTCAGTGACGAAAGGAGGGATATAAAGCAGTCCCAGGTCTCTAGTCTGTGGCAGGCCAAGTCCTGCGGGACACTTACAACAAACCACAAGAGGGGATGCCCCCGCCTCTCCACCTCCCCTTCTCTCTCCTCCTCATCAAGCAAAGGAAGAAATTCCCCTTCAAGGAGCAAACTGACCTGCAGAGGCTGGTGTGCCCGCTCCGGAATGAGACCTGAATCCTAAATCTGTGATCTTGAACGAGTTAAGTGGGCCCCTCAGCTTCCTTCCTTTCCTTCTTTAACACTGTGGCTGCTCCTTACAGCTTTGTAATGACAGCTGGGTCCCCGAGGTTACAAAGTATTTAAGACAAAATGGTCAGATGGTGTTATCTGATTTCAATGTTGCTAATGTGGTCAAACTTAAAGCAGCGTTACCCACACCACCAGATACCTTAGGAGCTCTCTGAGATTGCTGCTGCTGATGTGCTGTGGACAGCTTGGCTATTTCATTCTTGTTTCGTTCTTTGAGAGTGGCGAGCGAGCGAGAGGGTTAGAAGATCAAAGAGGCTACCATGTGCGGATTACTGAACCAGGCAAACTGGATTGGCCACCTACAGATTTAAGAGAGATAGCCTACAAAATAGAGAAAAAGATGGGGAGGGGAGACAAGAAGGAGGTTGGGGGGACCACCTGAAGAATGAAGATGGGGAAAGGTGGCTAAGTGTAAAATTGCCAGCCCAAATCAGAGACATACATTGATGGGTTGTACTGGGCACTGAACCCAGAGCTTTGGCTCTGAGTTACATCCCCACTCCCTTTTTACTTTTATTTTGAAACAGAAGTCTCACTAAGTCCCTAAGTGGCCTAGCTGGGTTCAAACTTGAAATCCTCCCTCCTCAGCCTCCCAGAGCGCTAGGATGACAGACCTGAGCCACCACACTTAGCTCAGAAACAGAACTTTTGACGTGGGAAAGAGGACACGGGGAATAGGATATGATCTACATCAAGGAAGCAACTCTGTAAAGAAGGTAGGCAGAGTGTGCAGGGGCCATTTACAACGACCCAGTTTCTCCAATTATAAAGTGAAGATGTTGGTAGAAGCCTCAGGGTAAGGAGGCTGGAGTGCCTGAGGTTCCTTGGAAGCAGCCCTTATCAAAGAGATCAGAGAGATCTCAGGAAAAGCAGCTGCTGGCGGAGGAGGTGCGGCTGGCCGACCTGGAGGCTGGGAGGGACTGAGGGACCACCTTCAGGGCTAGTTTGGTGCGGGAGTCGTCAGACGCAGCGGGCTGGAATGTGAGCTCTCAGAAGAAGCAGGGACGAATGTTGTGGGTTATTTTTTAGCTGCTTCTGCTTCTGCAGGCAAAATAACGCCATCCAAACCCCAGCTCAGGAAGGAGGAGGTGATGGGGAGGACAAACAGGCGGTTTGAAAGCTACAGGGTCAGTCTGCTGTAACCCTCGTGTAGTCTGTGCAGTGAGGAAGTGGGGTCTGAAATAAGGTTCCCACTTCTTGTTTCGAAAGCAATTCACAGCCAGGTGGGCAGAGGCAGAGCAATAGAGGAGTGCTTAGTGCCACGTTAGGCCAATGCACATGCGCCCAGGGGTGTGCAGGAGCTGATGGTTGTGGATGGACGGACTCCTCTGCTGAGAGCTCCCTTGGGTTTCTATTCTAAAGAACAATTCCTCTTTTGTTGTTGTTGTTTGTTTGTTTCTTTTTTCAGTACTGGGGATTGAACCTAGGGCCTTCACACTGAGTTACATCCTCAGCCTTTTAAACATTTTTACTTTTGTTTTGAGACTGGGTCTTGTTAGGTCAGTACATTGTCCAGGCTGGGCTCAAACTTGGGCTCTTGCCTCTGCCTCCAGAGTGCTGGGGTTATAAGCATGCAACCCCTTGCCCAGCTCTGGAAATTCATTATATAGTACTATGTATATAATGCAGCTGTCTGATATTTGAAAAATGCAAATGTATTTGTCATTTGGGATTAAAGTATCTGACCCTGGAAAAGGGTCCAGCTTTAATGCTATGGGAGAATGGGAGACTTTCTTGAAAGAGACATCTGTTGAGGAACCCTCTCTTATGCCAGCTCTATGACACTGGCATTTGATTGAAGTGCAAATAACATCATTAAAAAGTTCCCTTCTGTAGGCAAAGCAGTGATGCTTTTGTGCAGGGCCATCGTGTTTTTAATTAAACTCTTAATATGCAAGAAGAAGGAAAAGTGCTTAGAGTGGTTAGATGTCTCAGCACATCCCCAGAATTGCTGGTGGGTTAACAGAATTTTGTCACAATCTGAAGGGTCCGCAGCTTGAATAGGGAGTTTTTCAGTGTTAATGACCTCACAGTACAGGCACTGGGGTTGAGATTATAATGTCCTGCAATTGTTTTCCAAAGAATGATTTTTAAAGCCCAGGTTATACAAGCTTAAGCATACTGTAAATTAGCCAAGCCAAACCAGATAACAAAAACCAAAACAAAATAAAGAAACTGCTCAGGAAACCTAGTACTTTGTAACAAAGAAAGAAACAAAAAAGAATTAGTTGCTTGCAACACTTGCACTAAATAGATATTATACAAATAAGCCAATTTAGCGAACATTTCTTTTTTTAGTAAAGTTTTCCTAGTAAATAGTTTTTACCAGAAGGGAAGAATGTAGGTGATTTTTCAATGTAGATGTCTTCTAATTAATTCCTAAGAAAACTTTAGGGAGAAATGATGGCAGTTCATTTGCACAGATATCCTAATACCCTCTTGGATGTCAGATCTACATGCTGGGGGTGGCTGTGGGGGGAGAAAGCACCTGGGCAGAGGAGTGTTAGCCCATTTGTCCTCGAATAAAAAGAAGTGTGAGGACAGATAGATGGAATATCTAGGATTCCAGAAACCTAGCAAATCTTCTCCAACAGTATATTTTTTCCTTCAATAAATTCTCCTCTGCCTCTCACCAGCCTCAGTTTCACAAATCTTTTTTTCCTATGTAATTATGTAATTCAGGCTGGCCTTGAACTCTCTATAGAGACCATTCTGGTCTTGAACTCACAGCTATCCTCTTGCCTCAGTGTTCCAAGTGCTGGGATGACAGGTGTGCACCACCACACCCAGCTTCCCAAATTTTAAACAGTCCACTTTTAGCACTTTTGGAGACTGAAGCAGGAAGATGGCAAGTTCAAGTCTTGGCTCAAAATAATTTCAAAAAAGGGCCGGGGACAAATCTCAGTGCAAAGGCTTGGTTTTGGAGACTGTCTCACTATGATGCTCCTGCTCCCCCTACCTCAGACCTCCTAGAAGCTGGGACTACAGGTGCGCGTCACCACACCCGGCTTGGTCTACTTTCTTAGGCATTGCTAGAGCCACATGGATTTCTTATCAGGTTAGGAATAATCTATTTGATGTCCATCTTCACACCCACGACTCCTCCAGGCTGAATAACTTTCTCAAACTGCAATGCAACTCATATTGCCCAGAGTAATTTATTTTCCTTTAAAATCTGAAACATTCAAGGCATTTCCCTCCCTGTTTATTATCTTTGTGTGTTCATGTCTCATCTCCTAGAGTGCAGTCATTAGGATAAGTTGTGCACATCAGCTTTTTATTTTTATTTTTGTTTGGTAGGAGATAATGAACATAAAAATAAATAATCGTAGACTGAAAAGCAGACATGCCCTGTTCCATGATCTCAGCACCACATAGCCCACATCTTGGTCTGGCACGCACATCGGGATTTGTTCTTTTCTCCTTTTTGGACTCTGCTTGTGAGTTTGATAATTCTTGTTTTAAAATCTTCATGTGCAACCTCCGTGGAGATAGCAGGAGGCCTGGAAGCTGGCAAAGGTCTGCAAGAGGGTGGCGTGGGTGTTCACCAGCTGCTGCTCTCTGCAGACCCCACTCCGCGCTAGAAACCCCAGAAACCGTGATGCAGACAGGTCCTTTACCTGGGCCCCACGCGGCCACAAGCTCAGAACCCAGGTTCGGTGGACCCAAACCGCAAGGCAGTTTCGTGTCGAGGACTGCCAGTTACGTGTCAGGATCTTTTTTTTTTTTTCGTACCGGGGATCGAATTTGAGACCTTGCGCTTGCGAAGCAGGCGCCAGAACCACTGAGCTAAATGCCCCGCCAGGTGTCAGGATTTCTTGAAAGCTCACGCAGCTCCCACTCGCGTTCGCATAAAGCTGAGGCCGCATAGACGCCGGCGTGACGTCACCGCACCTGGCACCCGGCGGGCAGAGGGGCGGAGCCAGCGCTAGGGGGTGGGCAAGGCGGTGGGCAAGGCAGAGGGCGGGGCCTGGGCCAGGGGTTCTCGCGAGATCTCCGCGTCGCGCGCGCTCGCACCTTCCCCGCGGCGCTCCAGTCTCCTCAGAGGTGGCGGCATCGGGACTGCGGGGTCGAGGGGCGGGCTCGGCGGGCGGCGCTCGGGGCGCGAGGGCGGGCGGTGCGCGGTGGATGGAGGCGCCTGCTCAGCCCGCCTGACTCAGAGGGGCCGGATTGTGAGGGAAGCGGCGGCGGACTCCGCGGGCCCCAGCATGGGTGAGTAGGGGGTTCCGGCCGGGGTGGGGTGCGGGCCCCGCGACCCCCGTGACCCCGCGACCCCGCCACGCGCTCCTGACCCCTGACCCCCGACCCTGCCTTTGACTTCTGCCTGGGGGGCCGCTCGGTTCCCGTTCCGCCCCCTGCGCCCTAGCCCCGCCCCTCCCCCCACCCGGCGCCCCAGTAACCCCGAAAGCCGGAGGGAATCCCACTTCCCTTCCCTCTTGGGCCCGGCGGGTCGTTTCCGGGCACTCGAGGGCCACACCCCTCCGGGCGCTTTCCCGGGGTCGCGGAGCCGGGGCTTCCTGTGGCTCTGAAGTTCTGCTTGCAGACCGGGGAACCCGAACGGGTCCCAGGGCCCTGAATGGAGTTTGTTGAGTGCTGTAGCAGTTCTCGTGATCAAAAGTTCACCACGAGCTAGGCGCGAACTCCCTCGATCCTTTACAATTAACTTATTTAACGAAGTTGTTTTTTTTTTAAAAAAATAATCAGTTTATGCCTCTTTAAGGCAGAAAGCATTCTGTAAGAATAAAACCAAATTGGATTTTGTGCAGCAAATCAGGGACGCTAACGCTTCTTCCACTGGAGAGTTGGTGCTGCTTCCTATCCACAAACCATTACCGGAATTAATAATTCATGAAGCTCACAGGATTTAGTGGCAGGGCAAATGCAGAGTCCTGCTGATGTGGCACTCGCTGCCCACACTTTGTTTTGTGGGGGATGCGTGCAGCCCAGTGTTTGTAGACACTCGCCTAGCTGTTTGGCGTTTTTAGACTTTTCTAATTTTATGTTTCTTCACTTCCCTCCTGCTTTGAAGGTACCCTTTACACACCAAGTTTTCTTGGACTCAGACACAGTAAAGCAAAATATTTGCTATTTGGAGCTTTCAAATGAATTCTTTTTTTTTGGCACCGGGGATCGAACTCGGGTCCTTGCTCTTTCCAGGCAGGCGCCGGAACCACTGAGCTAAATGCCCGGCCCATGAATTCCTTTTTAATCCATTAGTTGCCCTTACAGGGTAATTGTGGGCTTATTCCTTTAAGCACCAAATTGTAAAATCACTTTAATCGCTTTGGATGAAAATTACACTAAAATTATATAATTCTTTATCTGTCTTAAATAGGACGCACGGTATAATTAAACTTCTTTTGATGTCTTAATCATAATTCATGATTTTCGATTGCTATGATGTCCTTAGAATCTGTGGATGGTATGTAGGACTGTTGATCCAAGTGCTAAATAACATACTCCTTTGCGTTTTGAAGTAATTTAAAGTGCTTTTTTCCTACTTTGCTATTGGTTGTGCTTGTAACTTTGATTAGCGCCCCCCCCCCTTCTGTTCAGTTTCCGGAGTGTGGAAGTGGTGTTCACTTTGTGATTCTGCATAGGGGAGAAATCAACGGGCCATTAGAGTGTGAGGCAGTTGAGAAAAGTGAATGAATATCAGTACTTGGACATTGTAATACTTATTTTCTTACCGACTGACTTGTGTTCTAGTTAGTGAGTTGTCAGATAATCTTGCTAAAGATCAGTGTTAGCATACTGTTAACTTGATTACTCAAGATGTGTTTTGAAGGTCTGTTACTTGAGGTGTTCGTGGTTAATTTTTGAAAAGTGTGTAAGGTTTTGCCACTGTCTTTATTTCTTAGGATTTAAGGTACTGCCTAAAATATTTACACGATGTTTTACCTAATTTGTCACAGAATGAAAAACTTTGCGTGTATTTGTTTTGAGAGTGATGTGAATACCTTTAGACGGTCCTTACTAGGTGGTGTACATGACTTGAGCAAGTCACTTCCACTCTCTGTGCTTCAATTTCTTCATCTGTAAGTGGGATGAAAGTATCAATCATATAAATTGTTGGGATCGATTGAGCTGTCACTTGTAGAGTGCCGATTATTTTCATTTTCAAATGATTTCCGTAATCCTTGTAACAACTCAGAGGAAAACAGCAGTAACTATTTTTTCCATTGTTAGAACCAGGATATTGTCTCTCAATGACTAGTGAAATGAAATTATTTTGAACTAATGCAGAAATTGAGTTTCACATAATGTAACCATACACAATTATATAGGTACTAGTATTTTTTCAATATTGAATATGATACAAGATTTTATTTATTGCTTAGGAAAATGCTTTGTTGATGAGGAACAACTTTCTTTTGTTGATGCTGGGAATCTAATCCAGGGCCTCATGCATGCTGGGCAAGTAGCTTTGCGATTGAGCTACATCACCTTCCCAGGGAAAACTTATAAGTGGGATGAATACTAGTAGAGATTTAACTTGAATTTATGTTACACCAGTGTTTTTCGTTCTGTGTTTAAGTGGGAAGAATGCCTACGAAGAAATTTTATGCACCTGTATAAAGGAATTTGGGAAGAACTTTAAGGGGATAGATAGGCAATATTTATTTTTATGTATTCCAAAAATACAGATACAAATTTTGGAGTGAAACAAGATAGAAAATGGTACAAAGTATTACTCTATGTGAATTTTTTTTTTTGGAACCGGGGATCAAACTCGGGACCTTGCGCTTTCAAGGCAGGAAATGGAACCACTGAGCTAAATCCCTGGCCCCATGAATTTTTATTTTATTTATTTATTTATTTATTTATTTTTTAAATAAAAACAATCCAACATTTATTGCCGGTGCAGTAATAACATAAGGGTAATCAAAACAGTATAAAAAATGTTTCACAGATACTCCCAGGGCAAACCACTTAAACCAGCTGCATTTTTCACGTTATCATAATTGCCACCTCACTTCACTGCTGTCTTCTTAATTCTTCGATCATTTCTAGTTGGAGACACTTTGTAGCAGAGTAATATTATCTCCTTTTAGCATGATTGGACCCAATTGTTTTCTTGACTTTGTTTTAGAATGAATTTCTTCCGCATCATCTAATACAAGATTCATGTACTCATCAAAGCCAATAATACAGCCCTCTATCCGCATATTCACGTGCTCATAGAGCCACACCTGAATCCGGGATCTATTTTGCAAGTATCTGAAGATGAGATTGATGGGCTGCACCATCACCTTCTGCACTTTCTGGCCCTGGCCCCAGTACGCCATGGCAAAATCTCACCTGTGAATTTTTATTTTTGAAAGAGTATGCAGATTTTAAGGACTGAGTTTCTCAATAATTTTAGATAAGGTTTTGAACCTTTAATATTGAAATTTATTTTATAAGGTTATCTACAGCTAGAGGTGTTCGTGCACACCGGTAATTATGGCGCTCTGGGAGACTGAGGCAGAAGGATTACATGTTTGAGGCCAGTCAGGAAACTTAACAACTTAGTGAGACCCTGTATCAAAATAAAAAATAAAAGAACTGGGGCTGTACGTCATTGGGAAGGCCCTTAGTTCAATCCCAGTTCTGGGGGAAAAAACTTACGTATATAACATGTAGACAGAAATTTGCAGTTGGTTTACTTGATACATGTACTTCTATAACAGTGGTTTCTTTATTGTACTTTGTGGTACTGTTTGGAGAAAATCTTCATTCATGCAGATCAGTAGTTGCAAACAGAAATTGCCTACCAACCTTTGAGTATTGGGATTAACTTTAGTTAAACTAGAGAGGAGCAGGAAAAAAGGAATATTAAGAAATTTTTGTTTTGAAGTTGAATTGCTGCCTAATCTAGTAGTTCCTTAATTAGAGGAAGCACTCATGATCAGATTTTTTTAATGTTTCAAACTTTGAATAGTTTTAATTCTGCAAAACCATATTCAATTAAAGTTAAATTTGTAGTATATTTTCCTGTAACAATGAGTCTGGAGTTTACTATGTATCTCTGAATGAGGGGCTTTACAAAGAAAAATGATGTCATAATAATTTAGCAAGGTATGATTTTAAGGAATTTAAAATTTAAAAAGTTATAAAGCATAGTCTTTTGGTTCATGTTAAATTGTCAATTAAAAGTACCCTAAAAATTTTATATATACTTAATCCAAATCTGTGACTTCCCTCCCCTTCTTCTGTGATGGAATATCTTCCCCTGTTAAATGTATTTTGAGTTTGATAAAAATGTTTACTTTTCTAATTTATGTGAAGTAATATTGTGTCAAAGGCATGAAAATAGGTTGAGAAAGAATGTAGCGATTCTTTTTTTTTTGGTGCCAGGGATCAAACTCGGGACCTTGTGCTTATGAGGCAGGCGCTGGAACCACTGAGCTAAATCTTCGGCCCCGAGATTCTTGATTTGGGTGAGCATAGGACAGATCTACAGACCTGTTTTCTCTGTAACCTGGGGGAGGCATGCTGTGAAAGATCAGAAGGTTTTCAGTGTTTGTGTTCAGAAAAGAAAGGACAAGTCAAATGTAATATTGAGTAATCAGTATGATGGAGCTGTGACCTGCTAGTTGTAGGAATTGATATCTACTATACAGACTCAACACAAACAGGATTCAGGTGCCAAATAATATCTACACGTGGGCAGAACATCTTTCTAGAAGAAATAGGGGTTAGAATGCTAGTTTGGGAAATCTGAATGGAGGTTCATATATGTCTGCAGTTGGCAAGACAGGATTGAGGATATGTGTAACAGTGCAGAGTGCAGACAGGAAGGTGGAGCAGGTCAGCTTGGAGTGGGACTGATGGGGTCGGTAGCAGGCGTTAGGGAGCAAGCAGCTCAGACTGGCATCCTGGCGGGAAGGGAGGAAACAGGGTCTGGCTGGAGGCCTTGAAGGCCTAGCCATAGGGAAATGAAACCAGACATTGTCCAGATTTCTTATGAGAGATAGAGGGTAAGTCATACCTTGGTACTCAAGTGTTTATAACTTGTTGAATTTGGTACTTGATGATTTTGACAAGAAAAGTTTGTAGTGAACATTAGTAGCTGAATCTGAATGATGTAAGTGTCTTAAATAACTTTGGGTTTTAATGGCATCTTCTGCTTATCTAAATAGCTTGAGAATATTCATGGTCATAATCTACCATCCCATCTGTTTATTTGGTTCCAGGCATTTGATGGGCCAGCCTTTGCTCCTGTCTCT